TTAAAACAATTGTATTGACATTTTTTATATAGAAAAATTAATTAACAACAAAAACGCAGCTCAGCATTTGCCCACATATCTGCTCGGAAGCGGCAGCTACCAGCGAAATTTTGCAAATATTTGTGAGTTTATGGTCAATATTTTACTTTTCAATTAATGAAATATTACAAACACATTAACACATATGCACACATATACATCGATTGAAGTGACTGAGTTCCATGCAAAAATCGACACTGAAACTGCAAGGCGTGAATTGTGAATGCAATTTGCATTCGCAATTGCGACAAATGTCTGTAACTGCGCAACATATCACAACGATGCGGTGTTTGCCGCTGCAAGGATTTGATATTGACATTGTTTGCACCATGTTAGCAGCAGTATTTATCACTACTGATTTAACCCAATTTTGCGAGTGCATACATACGCGATGCACTTATAAAGTTGTGCATAAACATCAATTATTTGTGCCAGGCACGAGTACAACTCATCGCTGCAGTCACAATTACCTTACACCGTCGACCTGTGAGGGTATGGTTTTAGGGTTTTGTGGGGGACAACCTCTTAAACGTGAATTTCGAAATATTGTAATTAAAATTGTTCAACTTGCCAAAAATACAAATAAAATTCATTCCAATTAAAATTTTAGTACTTCACTTGCCTCGAAATGTTGTTAGGGCGTTTAGATTGTGGAGTCATAAATGCGGCTCAAGCTGTTTTGTCGCAACTGTTTCGGCAACAAATTTTAGCATTTAATTAATTAAGTGAAGGGCCGCTGCCATGCCAATGCTGTAATTTATTATTTACCCTCCATAACTTGAAATATGGTATGTCAGTTGGTTGAGGAAAGGTGCCTTTGCTCACAAAGAACGAAATGGGTAAATAATTTTGTTTTAATTTTATCAAAATACATGTAAGAACGGTTCAAGTATATATGATATACTTATATGCGATATGAGTTATATGCATGCTAAAATAATTTATATCAAACAAAATTAATTTTTTAAAAAAGTGATACAATTTAATTTAGCAACGATTATAAATACCTAAACGTATGAGAATTATTTTATACTATCAAATCTTTTCAGAAGTCTCAATATCGTACTTCATTTTAAATACAAAAGAAAGAAACACTTTGTTTTAATTTTATTTACCAGCTACGAGCGTAGTTTTTACTCGATTTATATATCTTTCAAACTAAAGTTCTTAGTAAAATATTCTCTATGCATATCAAAGTATAGAAAAAATAATGTCGCAAATAGACTTAATATAAATCTTTTAAAAAAACATAATACCTTGTGCAATAGCTTGAAAACCAGCTTGATGAATCAAAAACTAATTATGGTTTCAAGATCAGCAACACAAAATCTAGCAATCTCCTCAGCATAACACTATTTAGCATATAATTTATGCCATTCAAAATGCCACTTTTTGGAATATCAAACAAAAAAATACACTTCGAAGAATTATGTACCAATTACAAATGCAAGCCGTAAATCCCGAACCCCATCCATCACAAGAAAG